TGGCAGTAGGAGGAAATGTTAGGATGATGGTCAAGTCTTGTAGAGACAAATTTGTTGTCAAGATAGACAACTCGAGTGCTCTGGTTATCTTGAAAGATGTTTTGAAGAGCAGTCAACGCTTGAAAAGTAATGGTGTTTGGTTTCAAAATTGTGTGCAAAAGATCATTCAAAATTGTGTTGTGGATCCATTGGAGAACAATAGCATCGAGTCGTGACCATGCTTCAAACTCGGATGATGCTTTGGTTTTGTCGGCTTCAGTGGCAGTTGAAGAAGAAGAAGATTTTGAGGGAGGGATGACCTCAGAGTCAATGTGATTTCCAACCTGAAAAGCCATGCAATGGATGCGAAATAATTCTTCCCATGAGGTGCATTGTCCGCTCTCCATATCTAGTATAAACAGAATGAAATTCCGTATGTTTGTTACTGTAATTGCAGGATGAGTTTTTGGGTCCATTGTAGAAGAAGAGGGAGATGAGAAAAAAAACAATGGTGTACAAGGAATAAAGGACAAGAGGTGGAATTAGGGTTAATGAGATTTGTTCGTTGATGCCATGTTGAGTGATATATCTTTCCTGTCATATTCCAATGATTTACAATTGGTATTTATACAATGATCCTATCACTATTTCCAGAACATATCTATAATAAATATAAGGGATATCTTCTATAATAAAGTCTATCAACTATAACAATCCTTCCTCAATATGAGGAAGGATATCTTCGGCTAATAGTATTATCAACGATTTTTGTAGGAATTATACCAATATGTTTGAATATTTTGTCATTCCTGGATAGCCAAATGTTCCAAACAAGGCAATAGAACACGGTGGTTAAGATCTCCTTTTTCCTAGGACAGTTTCCCCAAGTAGCCGTGAAGTCAATGAATTCTTTAACACTTGAGAACATTATGTCTTCCAAACTACATCATTTGAATATCTAGTGTTGCACCACCCTAGAATAACCACAAGTAATGAGCAGATGATCAACCGTTTCAGTTTCTGTGTTACAGAGCGAGCGCAGGGTGCTGGAGGTATTAATCCCCCTTACAACCAAGGTTTCAGCCACCGGGATTCTACCTGACACAGACCTCCATATGAAACATCGCACCTTCAGAAGGATTGTCTTTAATCACCAAATTGCCGCCCCTTTAAATGGATTCAGTTTAGACTCCAATAGCTTCCTCATTAAATTGTCAGTATATTCACCACTGGGATTAAGAGAAAACTGAACCCAAATTTTGATTTTTGCTCGGTATTCAGATTACCAATATACATATATAGTTGCAGCAGTTCATTTAATTCTTCTGAACCAGTTGGTTCAAATCTCCACATCCATGAAAAGCCATTGTTAAATATTCTATCTCCCAATAAACAATTTTTAACTATTTTGATTTAATATAAGTGAGGGAATTTGAGGTGGAATGGATTGTTACTACAACAAGAGTCTTTATAGAATAAGATGTTGACGTCCAAACCTGGGGTAAGGGAAAAATATCCATGCAATCAATATACAAACTTTCAAGAGGTTTAACATCCTTGGAAATATTGCACTAAGCTCCATTTGATGTTTTCCTCGCGATGTACGACGCCGGTTTGTTGTGTAAATTGTGAATGCTCACGATAACACCATTCCATAAACTTCCTTTGTCATTCATAAGTCTCCACCGCCATTTGATTAACAGTGCAAATGCTTTGAGCGAATAACGATTCAACACCTAAGCCTCTTCCGATTTTGGTGCAATAACTTTAGACCACTCAACCCAATGGATTTTTTTAGCTTACTACCTCCCCATAAGAATCTCCATCTGATCTTATCAAGTTGCTCAATGATCCGCATTGGAGCTTTAAAGAGGGACATGTAATATGTAGGAAGGCTGTCCATAACATATTTACTGAGGGTGAGGCGGTCACCAAATGACAACGAAATGGCCTTCCAACATGATAATTTAGAAGAGATTTTATCCAGAATTGGCTTCCAGTTCTTCTTCAGAACCATGTTGGCACCTATCGGGACCCCAAGATAAGAGAATGGAAATTCTCCATGTCAACATCCAAGAACCTAAACAGTATCAGACAACGTTGCCTTTGATACTCTCACACTAAATAAACATGATTTGAAGAAGTTGACTTTTAGCCCTGAAGAAATGTGAAAACATTTCAGGATACGAGATATGTTTTTATGCTGTTACAGTCCCATTCCCCTAGTGAATATCGCATCATTAATGTAGAAAATGTGTGAAACTGAACGACCATCTCTAGGTAATTTGACCCCACGGAATAGTATTTTTCATAGGCACTCTTTATAGCGATATTCAGTCCCTCCATGGCCAAGATCAAGAGGAATGGTGACAGAGGATCACCTTGACGAACCCCTCTAGATATTTGAAATTCATTAGTTGGTGAACCATTTACCAAGACAAAAGATTTTGCAGAGGATAGGCAACTTGAAATCCATTTCCTCCATTTGCACCCAAAATTCATTTGATCCATTACAGAGTCTAAATATCCCCAATTAATTGAATGGAAAGCTTTTTCAAAGTCAACCTTGAATAGAAAGAATTTTTTCTTTTGCTGCTTTGTCTATGAAACCAGTTCATTCATCACCAGAGGCCCATCGAGTATGGATCTGCCTTGAATGTAAGCCGACTGTACATCATCCACCACTGACCCCATTACTTGTTTTAATTGGTTTGCAAGTAACTTTGCCACCACTTTATACATGCAGCCGATAAGACTGATGGGGCGGTAATCGTTGAGGGTTAATGGATCAGACACCTTTGGGATAAGAGTGATATTTGATGAATTACATCGTTGTGCAAGAGATCTTGTGGATTAGAAGTATTTGACGAAACGAATTATATGCTCCCCAATCAAATCCCATTTTTGATATTAGGATCTTGAAGGTGTACCCATCAGGTCCAGGTGCCTTATCCCCACCACAATGCCATACAACAGATTTGATCTCTTGAATAGAGAACTCCGATTCAAGAAAGGAGGATTGGGCTAAGGAAATTCGCTTGAAATTACTGTTTAAGACCTTTGGTCTATTAGGCCAGCGCTCGTGAAATTTGTCAGCAAAGAAGTTGAAATTTTCAAATTTAATTGCCAAGGGATCTGTGTTCCATGCACCATTTATGTTGAGGCCATGAATTCTATTTTTTTCGTTTTTTATGTTTGAGACTGCCATGAAAGAACCGGGAATTTTCATCACCATCAATGACCCATTTGATTTTGGATTTCTGTTGAAGATCAAGTTTCACACACCGCTCAAGCTCCATAATTTTATGCATATCTTCATGCCTGGACAATCGTTCTACATCAGTAAGTACCCGAGATTCAGCAATCGAGTCCAAGATTTCCACCTTCCTTTTGAGTTGAAATAAAGTTGAGATCTCACTGATAAATTTTTGTTTGCTCCAACCCCGGATGATATTTTTAACGAATTTGAGCTTTGCAGCGAGGAGACGATCCGTAGTGCCAAAACCATGAAAGGATTCCCATGAACTTTTGAATAGCACATTGAACTCATTGTTTAGTAACCAATAATTAAATAATCGAAAAGGGGGAGGCCCAAAAGAGTCGGTTGAAGGTTTTAGAATAAGGGGAGAGTGATCAGAGTATTCCGAGCCAATGCAGTGACAGACGTGAGCGGTTGTAAATTAATGAAGTTCGAACAAACAAGGAACTGATCAATTTTACTCAGTTTATGGCCATCATCACGCAGATACGTGAATTTCGAACCTCCCATATTCAATTCATGCAGGCATGCATTGACGATGAAAATATTGAAATCTCTAGCCGATAAACTGCAAAACATGGAGTTGAACCATTCATGCGCAAATCTTACTGCATTAAAATCACCAAGAAAGATCAAAGTGCCTACATTCTCATTTTTCAAGGATGTGAGTTCAGATCAAAGTGCTCTTTTCTCTGTGGTGGATTGGGGTTCATAAACATTCACCAATGTAGTCACACCTGGTACGCCCTTCCATTAACCAGAGATCGCGATGTAGTTCCTTGTTCTAATACTGCTGAGTTTAGAGAAAATATGTGGATCCCAAATGCAAACTAGACCACCCAATCTACCGGTAGGATTTACTACATCAAAGTCAAAATGTGTAGACCCCTAGCAGCCAACAAAATCAATTCCATTATAGTCCACGACTCTTGTTTCTTGAATCCCAATCAAATCAATCTGATGCACATGCTTGAGCTTTCTAACCCATTCCACCTTATGGGATTCACCTATCCCCCTTATGTTTAGACTTAGAGCGTTCATTGACTGCTGCTTGTAACCCCAACTCCATCGACCACTTTGGGGTCAATTTCGTCCAAGATGCCAACATTTTCTTCAGTAATCTGGAATCCCACTTCATTGCCCACTTGTATGAGTTTCCCAATCTCGTTGGACGATGAGCATTCATCCGCATCAACAGAAGATAGGGATTTGGCAGCCACATTTAAGTCGAGAGAGAGGGGGTGTAAGAGTTCGAAAATTGAGGACTGAGAGAATACGTGGGAAGAGATGATGGGTGAGGAGCCTCGCAAAAATCAGGTAGAAGACTTCGAGAAAGAAGTGAATGAGAAAAATATGAGCGCCCTAAATTGCCAATCTTCCGTTTTTTTGATTTAGAACCCCCAAAATCGTCGGAAGTAATCTTATAATTATTGGGAACCGAATTCTGCATTATAGGGCCAGAGGGAGATTGGGCTAAAGATTTTCTATTAGGTTCACCAGGTGAAGTGAGCCTACCATCATTATTTCTCGAGTCCGATGGTCGACTTCCATAATTAATTTAGGAGTTTGACCATCGGAACTCTTTACTCTCCGATTCCGACTCGGACTCATAGTATTTGGAGAACAGCAGCCATACATCTTCTAGTTCCATCACACCCACAGTAAAGTTCTTACCATTAAATATACAGTTGACCTCCAAATTTAATAGTGTTTTCGCTTCAGTTATGATTCGTGAATGAGGAGGCATGAGATCAATACTGTGCTAATTCTGATTACTCTCAATTTCGATGACCTTGCCAATTTTACTAGCGACCAAGTTCACGTTTTCTTCAGATCTCATATGAATGGGAAGGCCAATGAACTTGACCCAAGCAATTCTCTCAATTGGCAAATACTCCACAATGCCAGGTTTGAGCCATTTGAACCATTTGTTCCAGGCATGCTCATTCCGTAGATATCCAGTCGCCTCATTGTGAACAGAGAATTTCAGAATTACTCTCAAACTGCCATCATAGAACACTCGACATGGTAGCTTTCCATCTGCGTTGAGCAATTTTGGAAGATTACTGAGATGTTGAAAGTTTTTTACCTCACCTATGAGAAGTGAATCAGATTCCATGACAAACAACACGTTTAAGGATCACTGGTGAGATTACAGATTCTTCCCTCCTGCCAATAACAACATCCATAAAAGACCTACCAACATTTGTTTTAGTCGAACCCCCAGTATTGTCTGTCAGGGGGCTGTGGAGGGCAGGTGTTATGATATAGTTGAACTCGATACTTGTTGTTGCTTTTCTTTTCATATTTAGCGACATTAACCTTCACGATACAGTGACCACACCTAACTTGATTTATCGAGTTTAGCATTACCTGGACATCTTTGACTCCTTCATACTTCACAAACGCAAAATAGGATACTGTTTTGTCTTTACTCCCAGAAATATAGATGTCGACAATCCGCCCATATTTTCGAAACGCTTCACTCAGCATGGTTGTGGTAGTGTCATGTTGGATATTAGAAACATAAAAGGAAGTTATCTCTTTCATATTATGTGGTTTCCTCCGGCGAACCTCCACCCATTCACCGACGTCTCTTGCATGACTCTTCGCCTCCTTAAAAAGCGTTTTGCATATACTAAAGGAAAATGCTTCGAATTTAATGATAAATTATGTATACACATGATTTTTGTTATACGTTGCTAAATTGACACCCTATAAACATTTTTTATTAAAAGTCAACCTATAATAAACTATTTATAATTTACTTTTTCAAAAAATAATGCAAATTCAACCAATAAAAAAACCTTAAAAATCAAATAGGGTGTCTAAATGGAAAATTGGGGTGTCTTTTTAGCCAACCCCATTTGATATCATTGCAATAGTAATACAAAAAGGAGTAAATTCCCTCTTTATTGTTATTGAAAATAGCAAAAATAGCACTCTAAAGCTTGTCAGGGCGGTCGATGTAATTATGAAAACCAAAATATTTTATGGAGATTTATTTGATATTTATGTTAGGTCAAAAGTAGGGGTGAGTATAAGCAGGGTATCCGACCAAATTTGCTGGAACCGAAACCGGCGGTTCCTTGGATTTTGAAACCGGAACCGGTTACATCGGTTCCTAAGATTTTGAAACTGCTCCCGCAACCGCCGAACCGGTTCCGGTTCTGGGTACCCGGTGTGTAATTAAAAAAACAATAATAATTACAAACATTTGATTATAAAGTTGTTTTTTTCGTTGTGTGTAACTTAAATCACGTATGGGTTTTTTTTTTAGTAAAAAATAGATGACATAAGCCATAAAAGCTAAACAAATGTTTTCTAGAAATTTGTTGTAGAACCAAACCAAAATTACATAACTAAATTCTGGAAATACATAGTTAATTCGCACAATACATTGTTATCTAGTGAGATTAATGTAGAAAAGTTTCATTATTTTGGAAAAAAATTTAATAATGTCCTAAAAGTATTTTTTAACAAAAAAGTCTCAATTATTTAACATATTCCCAAATTAATGAAAAATTCCTTTTTTATATTTGAACAACAAATGAAAAATTATGTGATTTTCTTAAAATAATTGAACTTTTCTGTTAAAAAAAAATTATGACTTTTTTGAAATTTTTTCCAAAAGTTTGACACTTTTCTATAGATTTCCCTTATCTAATTTATACAAAATTTTATAATTCACACACAATGCATTGTTAGTATAGTAGATAAAAATATTGAATTTAGTGTAGTGGGATATGTTAATATTTTAAAAGAACACTAAGCCCAAAGCACATGTAGCTTTTTAAATCTTGCAAACATTAAGAATTTTGGAACATTTCACATATATATATATATATATATATATATATATATACACACACACAAACCGATTCTGGCGGGTACCCAGCGGGTAGCGGTGCCGAAAACATAAGAACCGAAACCGGAACCGGAAGTTCCGATGAGGTTTCGGTTCTGAAAGCGGATACCTTGTTCCGCTGCTCACCCCTAATCAAAAGAGTGGGATAGCCAAATTGTCCTTTCACAGCCACTACACAATTTTTTCTGTAGTACTTTTGTTACAATCATTAAGCAGTTAATTTGAGTTTTTTTACTTACTATTAATTCTTTAATACCTTTGTTACCATTAATTCTTTTCTTCTATGGCTTATTTTTTATATATATTAAATTCTTTGCAAAATCTTAGTGATATATACTTTTGCAAATCCTTTTAAGGGCTCGTTTAAGTTATATGAGACTCGATTTGAGCTTTTTGTACTAAGCTCAACTCAAGCTCGTAAAGAATTATACAAATTCGGATCGCATCGGGGTTGAGTTCGGCTTGGTTTTTGTCTAACATGCTTAAATAAGATTAAGCTCCGTTTGAGATTATTAAGAAGCTCGTTTATTAATACCCTAAATCCCTAATTCCCCAAATATAATTTTATTTTAATAATAATAATAATAATAATAATAATAATAATAATAATAATAAATTATATTATATATAGGCTCGTTTAGGCTTGCAAACCTAATCAAACTTAGTGATATAGGCTCGAGCTCGAGCTCATTTTAAAATCGGTTTCGAATCGAGCTTTCAACAAGTCGATCCCGAGCAGCTCACACGTCTCTTGGCTCAATTCCACCCCTAGTTCCGCATATTTGCGGATTTATTTTATTGTTCGGTTAATGTAGAATCAATAGTGAGAATAAGTTATAGTATTCCATTATTTATGAGTTGTATATGTCTCTCTTTGTGTATGTGTACGGCTATGTGTATGTCTATGTCAATCAGTTTTTAGTTACCAAATTTCCCATTTTATCCCGTTGATATATGTGTTGTTTCCGTGTATGTGGCTTTGTGTGTATGCCTATGTCAATCATTTTTTAGTTACCATATTTTCGATTTTATCCTTTTCTATTTGTGCTATTGCTGCAGAAAAAAATATACGTTGCTATTTCTTTCAATTACTTTGCTTTAAATGCAAGAAATAACATCTTACTTTTAAACAAGGGTACATTGATATTTCCAAAATATTAATAGATTATATGTTGCTATTTCCCAAAATATTAGAAAACTATGCTGTTATTTTTAGTAAATTATATAATGTACATTGCTATTTCCCAAAATGTTAAAAAGTACATAACTATTTCTGCACTTATAACAAAAATAGAGCGAAAGGACTTATGATTAGCGGTGTCAGGTGGTGTCATCTCTCTTTGAGGTCGAGGGTTCAAGTCTCGTCATGGACATAGGTGAAATTATGGGTTAATTTAGGAGTAGATTATATTTGTCGGTTAAAAAAAACTAAACTAAACTAAACTAAAATAGAAACAAACTTTCATTGTTTTTAAAATGAGGTGCAACACATAATTTTGTTTTTATAGCCTCCTTCCATTTAAATGAGATGTAGCCCATAAACAATCTAAACCTTTCATCCAATAGTTACATTTTATTCCCGTAAAACTCTTGTTTATTCCATAATAAACTAGGTGTGAGACCTGTGTACTACACGGGTTGATTAAAATAAATGTTTAATTGCTAAAAAAAAGTAAAAATGGTATTAAATCAAAATCGATTAAAATGAATTACATTGAATTTATCAAATTATAGAGAGTCACTTTCAATTTGTTTCGAATTGTAATGTATTCTTTTTCTATCAAAACTATTTAAGAGGTTGACTTTTCATCCATATAAATTGACTTCTATGATTTAAGTTAAGTTTGACTTTGAAGCAACCAATCAATATGTGTCAAGAAATTGGTGTAAGTTTGGTAATTATATGGTAAATTGTAATACCATATAAGAAACATGGTATTATTTTGGAAAGTATATACGATTAGCTTAGAATTTGGGGTGACACAATCAAAATTGGATGCGTATTTATGATATCATAGGAAAGAAAAGTATATACAGCATTTATAATTTTTATTTTCGAAATTAATAGAATAAATACATTAATTAATTAATTAATCTCATTTAATACAAAGCAACCACAAAATGACATGTGAAATTAATTTATTAAAAAAAAGCCACAAAATTACATGTGTCAAAACTTTTGAAAATTTGACAAATGACAAAAAAAACTTTCATTTATTAGAGATGATTAAGCGATAATTATATTTATATATTCAACCTTATATTCTAGCATCTCTAAATATTATTAAAAAAGAAACCTTATGACATCATCTTAAACAATCTGAGCCATTGATTGTATTTCAATCCTATATTTTCTACCCTTAGATCAAATTGCTGACATCATCTTCCCCAAATGGAATGTATTTAATTCCAATAAAAGCTTTCCAATTGTCAAACAAAATTAACTTACATCCGTTGAAATGGAATGTATATAATTCCAAAAAAATCTTCCCATATTTTAAATCTTGAATTTTCGGTTATAAAGGTTTTAATATGGTCAGCTTTAAAAACATATTAGTAACAAACCATTTCAATTAAGATATTAATATCAACCATTAATATAAATCAGTTTATATTAGTAAACCATTAATATAAAATCCATTTTTATTAGGAAACCATTAATACCAAAAAATCATATTCAAATTATCACATACATATACGATTCATCATTGAATCCGCGACTCACACTTATTTTCAATCGTTGCTTTTCTTCAAACCTTCTCCTACAACATTTTTCTTATTGTTTATAACTTCCATCATCATTCTCTGCTTCAAACATTCGCTGTTTTGCAGTAGAAGGTCAGTGCCTTCTTTCGCTTTTTATATATTTTTTCGATTATTTTTTTATTCCTATATCAAATATATGTATTCATATATTTCGATTTTCTTTGTCACAAATTACATGAAATTGGTTAACTACTTTTCTAAAACTTTTCAAATAAACAGGAAAAAATATTACGTACCTTTAACAAAACAAAATTTAACTATCTTTGGAATTGACACTAATTAGGAAAATGTTATTTTTATATATTAGAGATGATTATTATTTTTTTTAATTATTATGTCATAAGAATCCGGTTAATTTTGGTATGATTTTAAAATATTTTGGTATGATCCTATTACACTTTTAGGTTGATTTAATAGAAAATAATATATAATCTATTTATGCATCCTTTGAAATTAAGTACGGAAACAATTTTGTTGACAACTATAATAGCTTTCATATCTCTTTATAAATCATACCTCTTTATAGATAAATACAGTGTATACGTCCCTTTAATTTAATATAAAAGTCATTTCTAATTCTAATTGTTTTCTTTTTCATTTTACACCCATGACACAAAACAATCGCGATGAGATCGTCTTTGATAAGGTTGCTGGCATCGATGCATCCAAGGAAACCTGAAAGATTCGTGTTCAAGTACTCTTGCATTGGAAGCAAACTTAAAAAATAACACAAACATGTACAGCAGCTTGGACATGATTTTAATTGACGAGTAGGTATAATTTTTTCTTTTTATTATTATGTTGCTTTTAATTTATAAAATGTTTAACTTAACCAATTTTTTTTCACTTACATGGCACTAAAATACAAGCAACAATAAAAAAAATCTCATTAGTTCATTTGAAGCCCTCTATGTTG